AGGTTTTTACCTTTGGTTCTTGTTGCGACATAAACAACGGGTCAAGGTCTTATTATAAACCTGATTTAGCTTTCCTGAGTTTAAAAATCCCTTGTCGTGCTGTGGGTCTCATTGTTCTCTTTGGGGTTCCCATCAACGAACCTCATCTTCATATTATAGATTTTTTTTTTTTTTTTAACCACGAAAGGGAGGTGGGAAATTAGTTCAATAGCAAGCGTACAATATTGACTAGACAGACCATGAGCATTAATTGGCAGGAGAAATTGATGACTTAACAACCGCCAGAATCAACTTTTTTAAAACACGGTTGCTCTAGAACCTATGAATCAATCAAACCACCAAAAAGCATCCAAAACACTCAAAATCATATGGGTGAATGATGGAAACCACAGTGAAGTGTTCAAAGTAAACAGCTTTGTGATGGAAGCTTGAAAGTTGAAACTCAAGGCATGTTGGGTAATATGTCATTAGCAAACTTTTCTAAAGGGGCCCCCTTTTTGTCCTTAAGGTGGGCAAGCAAACAAATCAACTACAGTACAACTAAGTAAACGCATATTTCCACCCTTCATCAATGCAGCCTGTATTCCGCAAGTTAATCTTGTACATGTTGTTGTGATGTTGTTAGAAATTACGACTACTTTGGATCCAAACCTAATAATTTAAACTGACAACTGAATATCAAAATCTTTTGAGCTAAGCAGTCCCTAATAGAATCTTGGTAAACTCTTTTTAATTCATAGTCAAATATTTTAAATTTTTTGTATTTTTATTTATCCGTTTAAATTTTTAGATGAAAAAATCTCTTCTTTTAGTTTTAACGTAATTGTTAATCAAAAGAGTTTCTTGTAAATGAGTTGAAAAGATTGTACGATCTATATCACTTTAGACTTTCTTTTTTTTTTTTTTTTTTTTTTGTCACTTAAATTATGCAAATTTATAATGTAATATATAATATTATGGATAAATCACTTTCTAGAATGTCTCCTATATGATCAGTAATGCTTGGAACTATAAGCACGCAACTGCTACTTTTCAAGGACCCACATTCTTATAATGGTCATATCTCCTGCCCATTTTTTGGAGAATTTATCCTCAATTTTCAAACCCCACTAAGAACAATAATCACCCATTGCTGCATTTATGGAGGCAAGAAGATGGGGTACATTGGTCATCCAAAGTGATCAATTTTAGGCACGAAGGACGCCTGATTGCCATAATTTTCAAATGGTAGGATTCTAGGAGAAAAAGTTAAAAATAGAATGTAAGACATGACAGCTTATTGTCCAAGACTTCAACAACGTGCGAATTTTTTTACTTCTTCTTTTGTTTATGGTAATGTAAGCCAACCATTCAGTATTACTTATAAAGAAAATCTAACTTTAAAAGTTTAAGAAGAAATATGTGTCCTTGAATATAATATTAACTACTACATATATTGTCAAATGATTTCAAAATTAGGTACTTTTATTTAAAAATGATATATTTACAATATAAAAACAAAAGTAGGTATCAGTTTATATTGCAAAAAATTAAATAGAAAAATATTCTAAAATTACATCATTTTGATAAAATCTTATTAGAAAAGATTAAAATATTTTAATTATTTTTAAAGTAGGATTGAAGATGTTTTAGTCTTTTTTCATAATATTTTATTAAAACGATATAGTTATAAAATATTTTTCTACCTAATTTTTTACAAGTCTAGCTAATAAATATTAATTATTTTTACAATATTACGTATTATTGTAATTTAAAATTATGATGTATGTCACTGTATTATTGTCCATTAATATTGTATTTTTTTTATGGCCTTTTTATATTGTATTTGCGCTTACTTTTTCTCTAATTAGTATAATCATGCTATAGACTTTTCCAAGAATGAAGTGGAGTCCAAAAGATAATAAATATATGGAATATGAAAGAAATTGTGGGATTTCAGTAACCACACCTCAAACTTTGCTTTTGGCAAAATGGGAATGGGAATTTGCCACCTAAATTAGGCGGCTGTGCTATCTTTCTTTTTTGAGAGTGACAATTTGGAAAAAAAATGAGGGGAAAGGGACAAATCTTAATGTTTGATTTATTCATTATTGATTGATTATCACTTAGGTTTAAAATGTTCATTTCTTTCAAACTCGTGGGTAGAAATTTCAAAAAACTGTAAAATTATCTATTTTTCAAAATTTTGTGAGTTTTTTTTTTTCCTCTAATGAAATCCCACGTGAGTGCAAACCTAGCAACACATAAATGTCACATTAACTAAGAAAAGTGCATTTCTGTAATAAAAACAGTGATAAGGAAATTGAAAGATACATTATCAATTGGTGAAAATGGTATATTAATCCTTCTACTTTTCGTTTTTATTGAAATTAGTTGGTAAATGTTGGGTGATTTAATTCAACTAAAAAGTAAGTGAGGTGATTTCATTAAATAAAAAAAGTAACTGTATGTTTGGATAGAAGGAAATGGAGAAGAAGGGAAGCAAGAAAAGGGGAATGAAAAGTAAATAAATTAAAAGAAAAAGTAAAGAAAAGTAAATTCTTCCTCTCCCAATTCTTTTGATAATCAAAAAGAGAAAATTTTTCCCCTTTCTTCCATTTCTCTCAACTTAAATATACTGTAAGAGGGGTTATGTAAGAAAATGTATAGATAAATATATGAATTTTGTCCCCTTTTTTTTTATTTAAGGATGCGCATTTTGTCGATTTTCAAATAAAATAATAAAATTTTTAAATAAAATAATAAACTTTTAACTTTTTTTATTTAAATATGTAAATTTTATCCATTTCTAAATAAAATAATAAAATTTCTAAATAAAATAATAAACTTTTAACTTTTTTTATTTAAATATGTTAACTTTGTGTTTTCTTCTGTGTGTGTTTTCTTCTGTTTGAGGATTAATAAGGTGGTGATGTTAAAATGACAAATGGTTTTTTTAACTATCTAATTATTTTTTAAATAGAAAATACACAAAATTGACATTTTTAAATAAAAATAGTTAAAAGTTTATCATTTTATTTTAAAAACTGATAAAGATTGCATCCTTAAATAAAAAAATAACGAATTTTATATCTGTATTTACATCTGTTTGTTTGAGATAATATATAACAAGAAATTATTCTGGGGTTGCTTTTAATAATAACAAAAAGTACAATGGTCAATATATATTTTTCGCATTATCAGTTCCATACCCATATAGGAAAAAAACTTGAGAAAATAAGAGACTTGATGTTGATTATAACTTAAAATTTAATTTTCTTCGACCACGTGCTGTTTATGTAGGCAGGTGGTCACTAACATGAAACTCCAAACGGAAAATCACTGGAACTTTGAGATCATAGGCCAATTTGATATATTTTCTTTTAAAGTTTTTAGACTAATTTAGGAGAAAATAAAATTTCGAACCAAAGTGATAACAGACTAATAGTTAATACACTAAACATTGGAATTTAGGGAGGTGGAAGTGATAACAAGAGAATGAGAAAATGCCAATTTTTTCTAGTAAATAAATAAAAAAAAGAGTAGACAAAAAAAAAATAAACTATTGGATGGAAGATGAATTTCCTTATATTTGAAATTATTTGTATTCAAATTTCTTTATTCATACCGTATTATAAAATAAAAAACTTGAATAAAAAAAAAATATTGAATGGTAACTTATTAACTTTAAATTGAAACTTATTGGTGCAAATCTTTCTGCATGAAGCCAAAGTTTTGACAATTACATTTGAAAGCACAAAAAAGTTTAGGCCTCATATTCGTCTTCTCCCCGTTTCTCTTGGAACCTCCTCAAATGGCTGAGCACAAGCCTGAAGAAATCAAAGACTACCAAATCATGATTGCAAACAAAGGAGATATCAAAAAGCAGCCAGCACCCAAGAGGAGCTCAAACAAGGACAGGCACAAGAAAGTTGATGGCAGGGGGAGAAGGATAAGGATGCCTGCGCTGTGCGCGGCGCGGATTTTTCAGTTGACGAGAGAATTGGGTCACAAGTCGGACGGAGAAACAATTCAGTGGTTGTTACATCAGGCGGAGCCGTCGATCATAGCGGCAACTGGAACCGGGACAATTCCTGCCTCAGTTCTGGCTGCTGCAGAGGCCTCTGTTTCTGAACAGGGGAACTCTCTTTCTGCATCTTTGGATACAAAGGTAGGCGCGCTGGGAACCAGTGTTGGGCCCAGAGACAGACCCAACTGGACAGTGATGAGTGGGGGTTTGGGAAGATCTCATGGATCAAGTGGAGTATGGCCTCCAGGGTTCGTTCATAATCCAGGACAGTCCATGGCAGTTCCAAATTTTGGCAGCGACAACTCATATAATATGCAGAAATTTGGGCTTCAGGGGGTTGAATTTCCCAACATGAATATGGGTTTTGTGAGTTTTTCCTCCATGTTTAATGCTAGTACGCAGCAAGCTCCAGGTTTGGAACTTGGGCTGTCCCAAGATGGGCAACTCGGAGCTCTGAGTTCACTAGCTTTAAGTTCTTTTTATCAGCAGATTGGGCAGCAGCGAGGTGGCCCTGGTGGCGGAGGTCACTTGAATCAGCAACACCAGCCACCGCCATCGTCCGAGAAGCATGATTCTCAAGAATCTAGACAGTAGAGGTGTTAAGAAAAGCTACTTATTTGCAGAAATTTTGATCTTATGGAGTAACATAGAAGCGGACTGGTTTACTGCTGAGATTTCGAAGGTACAACTGTATAAGACTTCAAAAAATGTGGTTTCACCTTTTTCGGTTTTGCACTTTTGGTCTCTCTTTCTCACACATGCAATTATAGGTACGTTCAGACATAATTTAATATTCCCATGGTTTGTCAAATGCAGGATGAAATTTGAAGAAAGGAATTGGCGTATTGTATGACAATTGTTCTAGGGTTTGCTTCTTTTTTCTTTTTCTTTTTCCTTTTTCTTTTGGTTTGTGGAATTTCAACATGTGTTTACATATTAAAAATGTATTTTGCAGTTCAAATTATATTGAATCGTAAAACAATAACTATTAAATTAGGGAGGGTTTTTTTTTTTTTTTTGGTAAAAGAGGAGGATTTCTCTGTGTAGTAACTAGTGTTTTGCTATTCAATTGACAAAATACCAAACTCTTCTATTTTCCTTTTTTAGAAACATTTTTGTGAGGCAAATAGCATTTTTCTCTATACATGCTCTGTTTGTTGTGGGTTTAATCCCCTCGATTCCTTTTTAGTTGTCATATTTTAGGTTTACACCGTATTAGAATAAAATACATTTAATACAAGCTAGTTTTGTAGAGATAGTACTTGAAATTTAATATTTACCGTTTAACTCATTTTGCAACTTTGTACATTTGAAATATTTAACAACCCTAAAATGTGTTTAATACAACTCAATAACTTTGATGTGAAACTGAAATAAAAGATTTTAATTTTAACTTTTTCAAATTACCTTTTTATTAGTAAGTGTAACAATTAAAAAATAAGAATTAGAATCAACTTAAGCATGTGTAAGAATAAAAAGTCTAACACAAGCTTATAATATTTAATTTATTTAATATTTTGAAAAATAATTGTTAGATTAAATATTTTATTTATATAAATCATACGTGTTAAATTTCAAGTTAATTGATTATATTTAATTATTTTTATTAATTACAAAAAATTTTATTCCATTCTAGAAAATACACTTTTCTTTTTCAATCAAATAATTATAATGTTAGATTAACTTAAAATTTGACATAAACAATCAACATGAATAGAGCAATCAGTTCTATTGTTTGTTTTTAAAATATTAACTATATTGAAAATTGTAACTGTATGTAAGATTTCTTTATTCGTTTTTTTGTTCTTTTGTTTAATGTCAGATTGTCCCCAAGCCAATTTATATGCACCTCAAGACTAATTCAGTCAAGTCACAAGCAGGTTTCTTTATTCTTATACATGTGATTGATCCTAACTCTTGTGAAAATAATTCCTCCAAATTAGAATTACTAGTGATTTCCATTTGAGAGGCTGGTTGGTTTGAGATTATTGAAGTGTTGCAGCTATTATTGCTTTTGGGATGTACCATACAAAAAAATCTACACTAGTGTTTGATAATTATTTTTTAAAAGAAATATATATCTTTATAATTATTAAAATATAAAGAATATTGATTTAAATTAATTTAATTATAATAAATTAATATTTTTAGTAATTCATGGCTGATGATTGTGTGGAAATGTGCTGTAAAAGCAATCTTAAACTCACCCTTAGCATATATTACTAAGTTTACAATACTTTGCAATGTAATATTGAGTCTGTTGATACTTCTGATGAGAAAGTCTTTAAGACAACGTTATACTATATTAGAAATTTCTATTAAATATTTCTAGTAAGTAATAGGAAAATGAGAGGCTTGTTCATTTAAAGACATCTATATTAGTATAAGACCTCTTAGGTGATATAAGACAATCCCAAACGTGGGTTAGAACTTGGAAAATTTTTCACATGATAACTTTTTATTGTTTGGAGATATTGTTGTCATGATATCTTAGTTACACTGAAAATTTTTATGGGGCTTATGAGTGAGGAATTGGAGATTTTTATGCTAAATTGTCTCTTTGATAAGGATTTCATCCTAATTTTAATTCAAAAGACTAATATATTAGATGAAGTTAATAGCATTTTAGGTTTCATACCACACAAAAAATGTCACTCTCCCTAATGCAATCTGAGTATGCTAAAATCTCAATGCACCTTGGCTGTTTCTCCTTTTTGGGCCTTTTGGCATGACACCCGCATAGCTCTTCAGCGTGTCAAGTAAAAGGGAACTGGACTGTATAGTTAAGCCGTGAAGCACAATTTTGGCCCATTTAAATTCTATTGCCCATGGCCTACTTTCAGTAAGAATCCAAACCCAACTGTATTACACACTACATTATTAAGCCTATACAAATTAACGAGGTTAAATGTCAATTTTTAGTCTCCAAACTTTCAATTTTAAACATTTTCAATCCTTAAACTATTTTTTGTATTTGTTTTGTCCATAAACTATGAAAAATGCATTTTTTTAGCCATTTTGTTAGTTAATCTATTAAGTTCATGGACTAAAAATGCGTATATGTTATAAGTTTAGAAACTAAAAATGTGTATATATTATAAATTTAAAGACTAAAAATGTGCATATATTATAAGTTTATGAACTAAAAATATGTATATTTAGACAAATTTAAAGGACAAATTGATAAAATATTTTAAAAAATGTATTTTTCATTGTTCAAAGACCAAAATAGTGCAAAAAATAATTTAGGGACTAAAAATATTCAAAATTAAAAGTTTAGGAAATTAAAATTGACATTTAACCACTGAATTAACATTTTCTCTATAAACAACTAATTATTGTATTTGAAAATATTAGTATGTAGATTAATTTTAATCTACAAGGTGATAAATATAAATTATTTTAGCATTTGTTAACTAATAACTATAGTTATTAATTGTTTTAATAGTCAAACCAAATAGAATTGAAGTTTTAGAAGGTATTGTCTAAAATTTGTATGGCCATAACCATGCCCTTCAACTTGCACTAGCATATTTGTTAGTTATTCTCACTAAAAGTTATAATTCTCAAAAGAAATTAGTTTATTTGTTTTTAACAATAAAAAAAGGTTTAGTACAATTTAAACTATTACGAATTACACTAAACTAATTTTCAAATCAAGGGTGGATTCCATAATATTTGAAGCTATTTCTTCATCTCAAAATTTCTTTTTTATAGTTCAATATAATCTAAATAAAAGAAATACTCTTTTAGCAAATAAAGTAAATAGTTTGTTAAAGGTTATGGTTTTCATGGACAGTGGTGGACGGAATGATTTGTGTTCCACTCAGTATACACCGTGACAGCATATTAACTTGGTCCAATCCAAATGAATCCAATCCATCTTAGGATGATATCAACCATTCAAAGAAAGTGTAACGCCTAAAGGCTATGACCACCCAAAGGCTGGGAGAAAACATAAAAATCCAAACTAAGCAATTAGGTACGGGCCATGGGCCTATCGAAGTTGAAGTTTTCGAACCTTTTATCCGCCCAACATATGATGCATTGCGGGTCAGACCCAAAATTGAAACGGAGAATGAAGAATTAAGGGGCTGTTTGATTTTGGTAAAATTCTGTTGGAAGAGGTTGTAAGAGGGTTAGCGTCTATTTTTTTTTTTTTTATAGGAAAAAATATAGTGTTAGGTTAGTATTGTTTGAGGAAAGTTGAGTATGGAATTTGACCTACAAACCGAAATGCGTTCCACCTGCTTCTCACTTTGGAGAAGCATGGCCGCCATTGTGGCCACATGAGGCAATGCAGGGTTAGCCTTTATTTGGTTGAACTCTTTCCAACACCTTAATACTGATAGTGGATATTAATTTGTCGATGTTTATTATTATGTATAATTTAAATACTATCAACTATTAGATTTTAACTATCAATTTTAGACCGATCAAAATAACTAAATTTAAACCCATGAGCGGGTGGATGAGTTGGTTGGGACTCTTCCAGCTTAACCAGAGATCTTGAGTTCAAGCTTTAGGAATGCAGTTCCGTTAAAACTCATGAGGGAGAGTTTTGCCACCCATTGGGTCCTACCCGGCTCGAATCCGGATTAGTTAGTAGCTCAATAGACTTCTGGATACCGGATGGTCATACAAAAAAAAAAAAAAAACTAAATTTAACTAAATTGAACAAAATATGATTTGGTAAAGCAGTGCAAAGTATTTGTGTTTGATTTTCATTTTAGTAAGGAGGAAACTAGTTAGAAAGCTGCTTTTGCTTTAAATTTTGATTATATAGTTGGAAAGTTTAAGATAGGGAAAAATTATAAATTTTTCTTACATAAATGGGGTTTTGAATATGCAATGGGTGACAATAGAAGGTTTCTTTTATCATCGCAATGAAAAAAGGAAATTTACAAATAATAAAGAAAAAGCAAATCAACTAGGGTATTTTGGATGTAGAAAAATACTAATTGCTGCTGCATGGTATTGCATTATGTGTGGAAAAAGACCCATTCACATGGCTGCGTTTCCCTAGCACGTGGGCCTTTTGAAAGCTTTCCTTCATGGTACGGTCATGTTGTCTCCCTTTCTCTGTCCCACACCAGTACCCACGCATTGACTAGGATATATTTTCATTTGAATAAGCCCATCAATTGTATACAGAAATACTACATATAAAAAAAATGTTGATCAATTAAGAAAATATCAATGATAGAACCTAAACTCATAGAGCAAATAAAAAAATATTGTATAGTTCAGACAATATAAGATTATAAAATTTAAGTTATTAGATGAAATAATTCTCTTAATATTAACAATTGTCCTTTATTTAATGTTTTTTTTATAATTTAATATAATGTAAATTACAAAACTGAAAATTTTAGAGTAAATTTAAAGAATCTATGGTTTATCTACCTTTTTAACCTCAAATAGAAGACACTTGGTATAAGAAGCAATAGCTAATTATAAAACCATAAAGAAAAGAAGGGCTAGAAAGCTATCCCAAGTGGAGGTTAGCTTCTTGTTGTATTCTATCGTGCTACAAATCTAACGTTATATAAGATTAACAACCCTACACAGAGCACAAAAAACCAATCAACTGCTGATAAACCCCTATTGGAAGCTCTAGGGTTTATGGTGGATTTCTTATCTAATAAAATTTTTTTCCTCCTAAATAATAAAAGAAGATATATAGTAATGTAAAAATTTTGCCAAAAAGTTTTGGTGTGGGTGGAATCTATTGCTATTTGATTCGAGTTGTATTGCTTTTCATAAAAAAATTAGTTATCAACCATTAAAACTAAAGCAAAAAACTCTCAATAAACAAAAAGATTTTAATGAGGCTGTTAAATTATGGGATTGGGGTAATACAAGATTCCAAATTCAGATTAATCCTCATCCCCGCAAGCTATAAAATATAAAAAGTATCTCCAAAGTTTTTTCTTTGCAACAAATCAGATCAATCTCCCTCTCCCAAAAAAATGCCTGGAAATTAAAAAACAGCAGCAGCAGCAGAGTCTCTGCCACTTTCTTCACTCCATGTGGCTACCATGTGCAGGACAACGGACAAGTAGTTACGGCAAGATAGCATTAATGGTTTGCAACACTGCCTCCGCCTTCTCTGCCCTCTGCCCTGCTCTATCTTCATTCTTTTCCCCTCCCCCATGTTTTCTTGTTTGCTGGTCACTTTTGTTTCTTTGACTATCACCAACTTAAATATCATTTCTTCCATTTGCCCAATGGAAACCACATAGATCTGGTGGGTTGTTGAGATCATCCCAATCAACTCTGTTTTTGACCCAACAAAAGCCTAGTCCCACCACATGGCCAGACAAATAGTTGGGTTCCTTCATTCGGGTAGGCTATGACCACCATATAAAATACTGAGATTATTAATTTCTTAATTTTTTTTTAAATAATACTTGACAATGTTAATTTATTAATTAATAAATATCAACTATTTTATAAGTTATTAATTAATAATTATAATTAATAATTATTTTTATCAATCAAATTAAATACTATCAATATTTTTAAAAATAATATTTTATAAATTTTAATAACTTTAATATTATGAGTGATAATTATAACCACACCCATGGAAATCAACTTAGGGAATAAAAAAAACAAAAAACAAAAACATTTAATTGTTATCCATTTCTCTATGTACCAACAAAATTATTACCCATTTATCTAAACCCATATCCTTTCTTAAGCTACAAAAATTCTCCTCTTCTGCACAACATTTGAACTTAAAACTTATAATATTGAAAAAAAATTTACATAATGGATATATATGCTGCGTGGTATAACTAATTTATAAATTTTTTACAATTTAATAATATTAAATTAAGGTCCTTTCTCATTTTTTCAAACTTGCATGAATCGATATATGTACTTTATTATAAATTGATATTTTAATAATACTAACTTGTTATATGTAGTACAATAAAAAAAACTGTTACATGAAAGATTTTTTTTTTTTTTCAATATAAAAACTCAAACTTTTAAAAACTTAAAGCCATCTAAAAACATCTCTCACGTGTGCCCTATTATATATATATATATATATATATATACTTCTCATGGATCCAAAACCCAACTCTCATTTTGCTTTTAATATTCCATGAATCCTCTCCCTCCACTTTCTTTAAAATAATTCATGATTTACTTCCTCCAAGAAGAAGTAGAGGGTGGGAAAATGTTATGTAGCTACTGAAAACTATCTTAAAGAATGGGTAAAAGGTAATATAGAAGTAGAAGTTTAACTGAATTGATATATTGATTTTAAATATTTTGATTAAATGGTCCTTTGTAACAGGTAGATTAATGCTAAACCCACCTCTTGGATAAGAAACTAAAACTTGTGAAAAGAATCCGAGAAAGTCATTATTAATATGTAATTAGGCCAAAATGAAATTATTAACATCATGTAATTGGGTGTTGATGACAAGAGGTGGAAAAGGAAAGGAAAGGAAATTGAAAAATGTGGGAAGTGCTGATTCTATTCCTTAAGTAGCCAATCAGATCAAATCTGGAGGAAGAGCTGACGCAATGAAGAGTCAGATACAAAGGAGAAAAGGGATCCCTGCCAGTTAAAGAGAATTGTTCCACACTTGTATAGGTATTAAAGGGGAAGAATTGAGATCAGAACAAAAAAATCCAACTGAAATTTTAATAATAATTGCTAGATACGATACATTGCTGGTATGACCCAATTTATGAAAAGATATTTTCTTGTTGCAGAAGTTAAAATTAGGCAAAATGTAGCTTTTGAGAAGTGCTTTTGATTTTTTAAAGTTATGTTTATCTTTTACAAAGTCACATGTACACTGTAGAACTTAGTTGATATTGTTAATGTAATATTAATCATCAAGATTAGTATATATGACACTAATTTATCTACATTTTAAGAAGGTAATATACAATAGTATCTTTACTAAAAACTTAGGAATAACACCATAAAATAATTAATGGGTATTTTCCATTAGATTTTACATTTTTCTCTTTTAAAAATTTGAAATTTCTAGAGGTAAGAAATTACTTAAAGAAGGGAATTGGATTTGTGGGTGGGAGATTGGCAATAACTATTGAAATTAAGTAGAGAGAACCTTAGGAGGAAGACAGGAACATCAATATTAGTGCTTTTTTATTTTTATTTTTGTAGTTTCCAATAGTTATTGATACAAATTTGAAAATGTCATGATGTCAGCGGTGAAACCACCATCCTTATAAATATGTAGTCAAAGTTGATGAAAAAAATAAAATAAAATTAGGATATTTGGACCCATTTACTTACTTGAGTTTAATATAAGCTATTGGACTTTAAGGCTTGTGTTTTTAAGGGATTGGGTTTTAAGGATGTTGAAGTTGGGTGTATTTTAAGTATTTTAGTGGTTTTAATTATTTAATTAATTTATTATATATTTATTTAAATTTAAATTTTTAAAGATTTAAAGATATAGTGAGAAGTTAAAGTTATATAAGTTAATTTTAATTTTACCAATCGCCTTTTTTTTTAAAAAATTTTGGATTACATGATAAAAAGTAAATTTTGATCTTTTATATTTTATTCATTTTACCTATATGCCTATAACTTGAATATAAGATCTCTTGCTCCACTTAAAGAAGAAATTATTATTAATTTGCTTAAGTCCTTGGCATCTAATTAAAATTATTTGCATGAAATTGGTTATTGATATTAAAATTTACTTTTGTGTTGTATCATATAACTTAGTAAAAAAGAATGCAATTAATCAATTTTTAACATGTGCTTTAGAAAAACCCTAGGTTATTATTATTAATTTCTTTTTTTCATACATAGCTTCCATGATGGTGTTTTGTGGTTAAGTTTCTAAATTTGATAAATTTTTTAATCTCTTATATATAAAATATTACAATTAGAGTAATAAGGCTAGGAAGCATTGCAATATTCCTTTTAATAAAAAACTAATAAGAGTTTAGTTGAGTTGTACTTATCTATTTAAAAACTTAATTACTTAGATAAATTGTGATGCCAAGTTGTCAACCTTTTGTACCCAAAAAAAAATTTCTTTTAACTAGAGGAGGAGGCTCCCTAAAGCACAGCCAAACCTCCTGCTAGATTTTGCAGATGAGATTTGTGAAAGAGTAAGATGCCAAAAGGAAGGGTAGGAGCTGCCTTTAACTAAGGCAATATATATTAAAAAAAAAAAAGGTACAAAAAAAGCCCTGAAAACACAAGACGCCACACACAGATATTATTTAGCAGCCGCCTTGCCACTTGTGAACACAAACCCTAGAGGGTGCAACCAAGTGCTGGGAGGGGAGAGGAAGAGGAAGCTTTGTGGGACCCATTTCACCAGCGACAAAAGCCCTCCATGCGCCTTTTTATTTCTTCTTTTTTTTTTCTTAAATTAATGCATTCATTTGGAAAGAGTATCTGTATTTGCTGTGGTGTTAGCTATGTCCCTCTAGAACTCTTTGTCCACCTCAAGAGCCACCACCACTTAAAAAGCACACAACACACCACCCACAACCAAATTCAGAATCTATAGGTGCAGAGGAAGTGGCAGAAAACGGGAGATAGAGGGAGGAAAAGAAAGGATTTTTGGATAGAAATGGAAGAAACAGAGCCAACCCATTTCTCTGCCCTCCTTGATTCATAATACCCTGTTTTTGGTTTTGCTTCTCTTGTTTTCTTGGAAATGGATTACTGGTCTTCTTCTCTTGCTGTGGATGAGGAGTTTGAGAAGCTTGCGATTCGGATGAACCCTCCAAGGTTCTTCATTTCTTTCTCCTTTTTTCTTCTTTTTTCACTTCTGATTGTCAATTGGGTGGGAATCCAGTTTATGCTATTTGTTCACTCTGGCGTGTTTGTTATTGGAGGAGGGTTCTTGGGTTTCTCTTGAATTTTCCAATTTCTGAGTGGAAATGAAGGAGATTGAAGGTTTTCGCAATCTGTGTACCTGATTTTCTTTCTCTCTTGGTCATGGTTTTGCAGGGTAACCGTTGATAATGATACAAGCAGTAAAGCTACTCTGATTAAGGTATGAGGTTGAATTGTTTGGAATTTATGGCTTATTATACAAGCAATTCTTAAGGGTTTCCATCTGTCTCTGTTTCGGGAAAAATTACAGGTGGACAGTGCTAACAGGCGTGGGAGTTTGTTGGAGGTGGTTCAGGTTTTGACTGATTTGGATCTTATAATTAGAAGAGCTTATATTTCTTCAGATGGGGAATGGTTCATGGATGGTTAGTTCTTGCTTCATATCTTCATGTGTTGAGTTCTTTATCTGCAATTCTTTTGATTTGTTATCTTATTTTCAATGGTTCTTTGCAGTGTTTCATGTCACAGATAAGCATGGAAATAAGGTATCTGAAGATGATGTGGCTGAAAGAATTGAAGAGGTAGATCTGCAAAATTAGTATTGACCCTTTTGTTTGACTTCTTTTAATTAGAAGAAATCCATGGATTCTGGTTTCCAGTGCAGGAGTACCATCAATTGCCAGTATTCTTATCTGTGCTTTAAGTCTTGCCTGAATTTTCAATTAAGTCAAGAATCTGTCCTTCATCAATACTTATTATACACACATCCCTTGAGTAGCTAAAATCCATGAACCCCAAAGTAAAATTACCTGGTAGTTGGGTAAAAATCGAAGTAAAATTTCAATTGGGTGAAGTATGGTGGTAGCCATGTTTTGGTTTTTAAAAGTTTAGCTTTTATTGAAGGAAGAGGGTGCCAAGTTGTACATTGGCTCTTAATGCAGCAGAAACCAGAGTTTCTGTATGTTTTTATGCCAGTAGGTTCTTATTCACTAGTTACAAAGACTTAATTAACCTCCTGAATTAGGTACACTAATAATTAGATTCAGAAGAAACAGACAAGGAAGCAACAGTTGGCTGCTGCTTGGTCTGTAATCTGTACTGAAATATTGTGTGGTTTGTGGATTACAACTCATACTGATGAGCGACATTACATTTCGCAGTCACTGGGACCAAGAGCACACAATTACAGATTTCAGTCCTTAACAAGGTCCGTAGGTTTCCAATCTGCTGCAGAACATACAACCATTGAGTTGACAGGAAGGGACCGACCGGGTCTCCTCTCGGAGGTCTTCGCCGTTCTAGCTGACCTTAAATGCAATGTTGTAGCCGCTGAAGTGTGGACCCATAATTCAAGAATGGCATCTGTGGTCTACATTAACGATGAGTCCACTGGATTGCCAATTGATGATACTGAAAGACTTACCAGGATCAAGCAGCTTCTCCTCTATGTTCTAAAAGGAGATAGAGATAAGAAGAGTGCAAACACTGCAGTTTCTGTTGGCTCAACCCATAAGGAAAGGAGGTTGCATCAGATGATGTATGCTGATCGTGATTATGATATGAATGATATGGATGGTAGGTCAACAAGTGTACGTGGCAAACCTCTTGTTACCGTGGAAAATTGTGTTGACAAGGGATACACTGTTGTGAACTTGAAGTGCCCTGATCGACCTAAGCTACTATTTGATACGGTTTGCACATTGACGGATATGCAGTATGTTATATACCATGCAACTGTAATAGCTGAAGGACCAGAGGCTTATCAGGTTTGTCCTAATTAATTCCCTACGGCTACAACTTGAAACATTTCTGTTTGTTCCTTACTAATGAGCAACTTATAAGGTACACTGTTGGGATTGAATTTTATTCATGTTGTGTTAATAATTGGTAAATAAATTCTGATTTCATGCTTGTTTTCCTTTGTGTTTGATAGGAATACTATATCAGGCATGTCGATGGCTCTCCTATTAGTTCTGAAGCAGAGAGAGAGAGAGTAATTCATTGCTTGGAGGCTGCTATTAAGAGGAGATCTTCTGAGGTAAGGGGACGAATGACTTAAGTTACATTGTGCTTTCTGTTCTTTATCTGTGTAATTTATGTATGATGTTGTGTTGCTTGTTATGCATTGCAGGGTATAAGGCTAGAACTCTCTAGTGATGACAGGGTTGGCCTATTGTCTGATGTAACTCGCATCTTTAGAGAGAATGGTCTCTCGGTCACCAGGGCTGAGGTCACAACCAGAGGTTCCCAAGCTGTGAATGTGTTTTATGTGGCTGATGCATCCGGAGATCAGGTGAAGACTGAAACAATTGAAGCAGTCCGGAAAGAGATCGGCCTCACTATACTTCATGTCAAGGAAGATGCTTATGCAGTATCTCCACCTCAGGAGAGTGGGAGATTCTCTTTGGGCAATATCTTCAGATCCAGATCAGAGAAGTTTCTCTATAACTTGGGATTAATAAAGTCATGTTCTTGATCTGTTCACTAGGGTTAGCCACAGGTTTTCATTCGAAAACCTCCAGATTTGAACTTGTAAAATTTTTTGTAAATACAATTCGCCTTTCTTCATCCCTTAGTCTTGAAGAACATTGTGAATACATACATTGATGCATTGCTGTACTGTGTAACATTTCAATTTCCAAACAGTAGTCATATGATTAAGCAAAATGAAGTATATCAAATAGATGATCTTTTTTGGGGGACAGAAAAATACTGTTAGAAGTGCTGAAATATTGATAAATGAGGTGTTGAATTTCTGTTTGCATCAAAGCTGGAATGCCAGCATATCTTCAACATCATTTTGTCAAGAGTTGTGAGTTTTTTTGACATATTCCACTACCAGGATGTTTCGTGGGCAAATGTGTTACGGCAAAATTATTCTGCTTCTTTTTTTATGCTTTTCCTGTGGCTGATGTATATTTTAGTTGTCCCCTGCTGCTACTTCAAAGTGGGGCTGCTACGTTTTTGATGTTATGATTTATGAACTATAAGCAATAAAGACTGGATAAGTTGCCCATGTAGATTCTCCTCTTAGGAATGATGTACAATGCAAGACAGGAGCGTGATATCCTCAATGGTAAATTTTTCTAATTTTGACATGAATGATCAATTCAATCAAATAATCAAATTTTCCAAGAACTAGTTTGGCGAAATTAATGGCACTCTTTTAGCTTTTATAGTGGAGAAAACTATTCTATAAGAGCCAATTGAAAAACCAAAAAAAAAAAAAAAAATTAGAGGTGAAAATTTTAAAAGAAAAAGTAATATAGAACTGTATCAATCTACATAATAATGATTATTAAATAGTGAATAGGCCATGTGATATTAGTAACTCTCTCCAATTCCCATACCCTCTGTTTCGCCAGTTAGGTTTAATAAAACAGTGCAATCAATTTTTAAATAAATACAACCTAATTAATTAGAGACTTAGAGTTAGATGTGGTGAGAAGCATAATTAAGAATTTAAGTTGTGTTTTCAAACACAACCCCCCATGTAAATGTTGAGAAGAGAGCAAGATTGACTTATTTGCAGATCTTATTAAGAAGTGTTTGGTAAAGGAGAATCTTGATTTGTTTGTGGGCGTGAAGTGGCACCTAGTGCTTTGAGCATGTAGAGTCACTTTACCTAAACGGTATGGCAAAGGCTTGAATCTCTCTCTTCTCCATCTGGCATGATAAATGTGGGCAACCAAGTTTGTATTAGATCACTCTACGTTGTTTTTAATTTGCAACTTGCATTTTAATTTGTTGTCTAGCCAGATTCATGCTTCATAATTGTTTTTTGTTACTTTAATAGTGTGGATAATGATAGTTTTCAGATATACTAAGGTTAAAAAATGCACCAAATTAATATGTGCAATGCAAACTTAAAATTGCCTTACGAAAAATTAATTCTAATAGTCTAAATATTAATAAAAAAGGGTACAATCTTATTTATTTTCTTTTTCAACAAATGTATAATCTCAAGCTTCATTAGGCTCAAATTAACTCAAAATTTTTTTAATTATTTATATCATTTTATTTAATCATAAAATCTTTTGAAATTACTAGTATATTAAGCTTTAATACACAAACTCAAACTGCCTTAATTAACTGATTGATCTTCAAGTTGCACCTAGTCTCATGAGTCATTTTGTGAGGTGCACCAAATTTCTTAAACGCGATCAAGTTTTAAGTATCAACCTGTGCTTTAATCCCCTTCCCCTCCTCCCGAACCAAAACAAAAAGCTACTACTAATACATTTTTAAGTTGTGTTGGAACTCAACTCAAAACTCAATTAGGTGTAGCTTGATTAAGTCAAAACAAGCTACCAAAAGCATGTGCAATGAAGAATGATAGAAAAAATTTATTTTGGTGTTATATTATTATAATTAATATTATTTTATATAAATTTACTTAATTTTATATATTTAATTTTCAAACAGAACATTGCTTCTTTGATATATATACTTAAACAAAACTTTGTTAAAATACACACATAAACGAAGTTGTTAAATCAATAAGGATGCATGTAACAATAAATTTCCCATTATTTTTTGCTCCCCTATAAGGAGAAAAAAAATTGAGAGAGCCAAGCCTTCTTTTTATATATTTTACAATGAAGAAAAACTATATCTTTGTTCTCTTTTAAAAGAAAAGACAATAAAAGAGAATTCCTGTTGTACATATTCTAATTCACAACTACAAAAATGGAGGAAGTAGACAAACAGAATTAGGAACCATGTTAGTTAATTACAAAATGATGAGAGTAATGATTCGGTAATCACAAGACATCGGAAAACGAAAGATCCACCGACAGAATCTCAACGGGGTGGAGGGCGACGGTCGTCACGCAACCCGACGCCATCGCACATGACGCGTCCCTTTCTCACCCGCCCTTTCCCCCAGCTTTTGTCCTGAAACACACTTCGTGGCACCATCAGGACCGCAAAAAATGGACCCGCCAAGTACACTGGCGGGGTCCACTCCTGGTCTATTTGTCCTGACCCATGGGGATAGTGGGGGGTGGGTGGGACGGCGGGCAACTTGGGTTGGCTGCCCCCGTTATTGTTAGGGTCGGCATCACAGGTCACGTGCTGGGATCTTGTCGAATCCTCCTCGGAGCACGTGGGGAGTTAAATCTTCCATTTTTATGCCGGTTCATTCAACATCTAAAGTCTTGTCATTATTTATTTATTTTTTATTTTAATTACGTAATAAAGATAATTATTTTTTATTTTATTTTATTTATATATTATATAATTTAAATTTAAATTTTTTTATTTTTAAAAAATAATTATTAAATTATTTCAATTATTATTCTTATCATTATTTTATTTTAGCTTTACTTTTGGGGTTTATTAAAATTTAATGGAATGTTATGTATTTTATTGTTTTCTACATTCTCCGCACCAAAATAAATGTAGTGTATCTTGTCAAATGTCGATCTATCAAATGTCGATCTATCAATGTGTTTGTAACAAAAGCAAACGATACGTAACAAGTAGTTAAAGGAACTAGAGGTTTAGGTATCATTATTATTATTATTATTATTATTATTATTATTTAAATGGAGTTATATTGTAGGGATAAAGGAATGGAAAGACCTCAAATTTAAATTCGATGAAAAACATCACGTGGAGAATAATCAATTATTCTATTCGAAACTTTTTCATATCTAACTTGTTATAATTATTGTGAAGTAAGAAAATGTTATGATTACATAAATTATTATCATTTTTTAAATAATTAATTATAATATTTATAAATATTAGTATGTAAATTAATTTTAATTTATTAAATAATAAATATTAATTAATTTATTAATTATTGAATATTCTTAATAGTTAAATTAAGTACAATTAATATTTCTAAAAATAATATTAAAAATTTTGTGTTACCATTATTTTGAAGTTGTTGGTCGGATTATATGTTATGTGCGTTACCTTCCTTTTGAGGGTTTTATTCTTATTATTATTATTTTTAATATTTACAGGGAAGATGTGTTTATATTTAGAAGCTGTAAAAAATTAGGTGAAAGATATCTTCAAAGTATGTAGTAGCATATGTTGATCAAATAAACTTCCGTAAGTGTAAACCTAAACTCTATTAAACAAACAAACAAAAAAAAAAAAATTCTCAAGACAACAAAAATAATACTTTGATAATTATTAACAAATATTTGAGTTTTTTATTTTCCTATTCATATTGTATCAAACTATAAATATTAGAATCATCAAATGGAGAGAGCCCACCCCTATATCAAGACTGTCCTATCCTATTAGGATTAGTTTAATATAATTTGGTGTAATTTAAATTATATAAATTATTATTTTTTAAATATTTTTCTTTTTTAAAAATGTAATAGATAAGTATTTTTTAAACAATGAGGTGGGATTAAGTAAAAATAAAGAGAAATTAGGACAAGGTATTAATTACCTATGTCGTTTTGTCTGCATGGACCACTTAAATTGGGTTGCTTGTGAATGGGATGGGACCATAAGGTTATGTCGGGAGACAACGCAGTCTCTGGGACCATTTACTTTAAATTTGGATTGGTAATTGTGCATTGTGGTGTTGAGATTTGTTTTTGTTTTTTTTTTTTTTTTAATAAAGTTTAGGTTTAGGCTGGGGGAAGTTTGTTTTATCAATGTATGCTACTAGCTTCGATAAAGATGGCCAGATGGGTTGTTTGGTGAAGCAATTTGCTTTAGCCCCTTACAGAGTTGCTTAGAGATCATTTAGAGATGGCATGACAGATTTCATTGTGGTGCCCTTTTTTTCTTAGCTCTTTCTTTCTTTCTCCCCCTTGAATAAGGGAAATTGTAGAATGAGGGGAGGGTGGGTTGAGGGTACAATTACCCAAGTTTAAACTTAGGATCTTATGCTTATCACAAAATGTTTGTTTGATATAGTAGTTAAAATTTAACAAATAGTAGGTAGCGGTAACAAATAACAAATAATAATAATGAGTAATAGATAGTAAATTGTAGATTTAATTAATATTACTGTTTGGTTATACAATTATTAACCGTTGTTATTTAACGTTAAAT